AGAAAAAATAACATATATACCCAATCATCTTTGGGAAATATATCTTTGTGCATTATGGTAGAGAAATTAATCATATACCACGCAGCAAAAGATAGTAAAAATATTTGGTTTCTGATCCTAAACCAATTGTGAAGGGAGGATTTATCATATATTGTTGGTCTGATGCATACATGTGTTGTTATATGCAATTTAGAAAATCTTAGACCAAAACATGAAGTTTTGTTCTCATAAGCAATTGTTTAGCCATTAATAGGATGTATTCAATGCTAAATCAGCTTGGATATAAACCAGCATTATCAAGATGAACTGTCTTGATTTTATAATCTAAAAATTATGCTCTTAATCGAGAAAAGCAATTCCAAATGTCAAACTGCAGGTTGACAATAATTACACATGTAACTATCTCATATATATGTATCTATAAGTGGTTCACATGATAGGTGAACGGGCACATATTCACCTTTTATATATTCCAGAATCCAGGGGTCTTAGTCTTAACTTTAGCCGGTATAACCAATTTATTATGAGAACAAACAATACAAGAGAATTCTTGAAGAATCTTCTGGTTCTTCAGTATATGCTTATCAGAATTGTCAAATAGCTCATTTAAAAATGGCAAATGAAAACTTCAAATTTACCATGGCATGTGCTATCTCTTGGCATAAATTTTTGCATTAGTAAACTTCTGGTTTACTATGATACATGATGTAGTATAAATTGAAGAATAAGGCGGGTAACTTCTCACATACATATTTTTTTACCCCCCTATGATTGTGGAAACATGAGGATTTTCAATCTTCTAGTCATTTGTAGTCTCAATATGATAGTCATTTGTATTAGTAAACTTTAGGTTTAATACAACATATGTTTTGACCACAATCATATAATATGAATGACATATTTGTATATAAGCTCTTCAAGCGCCTTCACGCTGCTTAAAGGATAAAGGGGTCCCGGTTGACTATATTAGGGTGATTAAAGACATGTATGATAGAGCTAAGACTCGGGTTAGGACAGTAGGAGGCGACTCTTAACACTTTCCAGTTATTACGGGGTTGCACCAAGGGTCTGCGCTCAGCCCATTCCTATTTGCCCTGGTGATGGATGCACTGACTCATCATATTCAAGGGGAGGTGCCATGGTGCATGCTATTCGCTGATGACATTATTCTAATTGACGATACACGAGGCGGCGTCAACGAGAGGCTAGAGATTTGGAGACATGCTCTTGAGTCTAAAGGTTTCAAGTTGAGTAGGACGAAGACGGAATACCTCGAGTGCAAATTTGGAGTTGAGCCGACGGAAGCGGGAGTTGAAGTGAGGCTTGACTCTCAAGTCATTCCCAAGAGGGGTAGTTTCAAGTACCTTGGATCGGTTATTCAGGGGATCGGGGAGATTGACGAGGATGTCACACACCGTATAGGGGTGGGGTGGATGAAGTGGAGGTTAGCGTCGGGAGTCTTGTGTGACAAGAAAGTGCCACCGTTACTAAAAGGTAAGTTTTATAGAGCAGTGGTTAGGCCTGCCATGTTATATGGAACTGAATGTTGGCCGGTAAAGAACTCACACATCCAGAAGATGAAAGTAGCAGAGATGAGGATGTTGAGGTGGATGTGCGGGCATACAAGGATGGATAAAATTAGGAATGAAGATATTCGAGAGAAGGTGGGCGTGGCCCCCATGGAGGACAAGATGCGGGAAGTAAGACTCAGATGGTTCGGGCACATTCAGAGGAGGAGCACTGATGCACCGGTGAAGAGATGTGAGCGACTGACTGTAGTGGGTAGGCGGAGAGGTAGAGGGCGACTTAGGATCAGACGGGGAGAGGTGATCAGACAGGACATGGCGCGACTTAGGATTACTGAGGACATGGTCCTTGACAGAGAATTATGGAGGTCGAACATTAAGGTTGTAGGTTAGGGGAAAGTTGTGAATATTTCTACAGCACAATAGGGTGAGACTAGCCAGTTAGGAGTTAGACTAAGAATGTCATTGGTCGTCTATTGATGCAGGGCTTTACCTGCTAGTTTTTACTATACTAGCCATCTATTTCGTATTTCGTATTTCGTATTCTGTATTTCATATCTCTTATATTACTGTTATTTTATTATGCATTTTTATGGTACTAATATATCGGCTCCTGTTGCTTTTTTGAGCCGAGGGTCTCCTGAAAATAGCCTCTCTACCCATCGGGGTAGGGGTAAGGTCTGCGTGCATATTACCCTCCCCAGACCCCACTTGTGGGATTATATTGGGTCGTTGTTGTTGTTGTTGTTGAATCTAATATTTATCGGACATTACTGGTGTCATGTATCCTCTAGGCAAACAGTTAGCTCTTCAGGAGTTGTTGATACATTTTGTACTATCAAATATTGCTCAGATACTTCTGGTATCATGAGAGAAAATCACAACCAAATAAACAATGTAAAATAATTGTTTAAGCACACGAAAACTCCTCTTCATAATATTTTCCTACTTCAGGAGGCAATTTCAATTGTGTTACTTCTTCAGGAGCAAATTTAAAATACGAAATATTGAGTATATATTCTTTCAATTATATTACCTCTTCTGGAGGTGAATTTTAATATATTCACATCAAGATCGCGTTCATATTTATCCGACTTATTAATATTGTCACATTCACTTCAGGGAATGGATTAATACTATCAAAAGTTCTCATCCTTCAGGAAATCGAACATAATTATCTGAATTCGCATTAATCACATCAAATTGTGATGCCTCAACCTCTTTTAAAATATTTACTACTTCAGGAGCAAATCGAGGCGTGCATTTAATATAGAGAATATTTATGTTGCTTATCTTCAATTGTAACCATAGAAAGCCTAAATTATCACTTCTGGTGATCATAGGCATATACCACCTCTTGTGGTTAACAAAATATAATTATAATGAGATGTACGAAATATAACCACTTCTGGTGGTTGTATATTTCTTGCAAACTCTGCTAGAGTTTAAGTTGATCTAATAATATTATCCATATTTTTCAAAATGACATAAATAAGATATATTATAGTAAACATCATTATCAAATCATAACTTTTATTTATGTACAACAATTATATAACCATACTATCTATTGCAAACAACAAAAATTAAAATATTTACATTTCTATAGGTTCATCACTGATCACATGACTTGTTTCTCCATCAGGGAGTGCAAGGTAATCAGCTACATCCAAATGCATGAAGTCTAAATTATCTTCAGAAATAAAATTTGCTTTAGAATTTTTCTCTGTCTTCTTTAGGGAGGCTTGATAAAGCTCAACCAGGTGCTTTGGCGTACGACAAGTACGTGACCAGTGCCCTTTTCCTCCACATCTATAGCATGCATTTCTGCATTTGGTGCTTGCACCGCTTCATGCTTTTGTTCCTTCCTTTTTCACTGCTGGTGGTAAAGAGGGTTCTTTGGTGCATTATTATTACCATGATTAAAATTTCTTCCCTGACCACGACCATGACCACGACTGGGGCCACGACCTCTTTCACGTCTAGTTTGGAAGTTCGTCTCATTCACTTCAGGGAATGGACCAGAACCAGCAGGTCACCTTTCATGGTTTTTCATTAACAACCCATTATGTTGCTCGGCTATAAGAAGATGTGAGATAAGTTCAGAATACTTTTTAAACTCCATCTCTCGATATTGCTGCTGCAGGAGCATATTCGAGGCATGAAAAGTGGTGAAAGTTTTCTCCAACATATCATGATCAGTAATATTATCACCACATAATTTCAATTGGGAAATAATTCTGAACATAGCAGAATTATACTCACTGATAGATTTAAAATCTTGTAGCCTTAGATGAGTCCAATCATAACGTGCCTGTGGAAGAACGACCATCTTCAGGTGGTCATATCTATCTTTCAAATTATTCCACAATATGACTGGATCTTTAATAGTGAGATATTCCATTTTCAAGCCCTCATCAAGGTGATGGCGTAAGAATATCATTGCTTTGGCACGGTCTTGGTTTGATGCCTGATTTTTATCCTTGATGGTGTCTGCCAGACCCATCGCATCAAGATGAATTTCAGCATCAAGCACCCAAGACATGTAGCTTTTGCCCGATATATCCAGGGCTACAAATTCAAGTTTAGAAAGATTTGACATTATATAGAAAAAGAAAGTTTGTACCTTAGATACTTTCAAAGTATTTGCTCGAGATGACAGAGTCTCATACTGATAACGTGTTATAAAATAAAGACTGTCAAGTAAAGACACATATAGAGAGAAACTGATATATTATTCGAATTTAAACTCGGGTACATAATGAACTGAAATCTCCTCTATTTATAGAACAAAGGAAGCTGCTATTGCAAGCTGCTGTGTAAGCTGCTACTATACCAGATATGGATAATCTTCTACTGAGAATAATGTTTATCCATAATGGAGTAGTGAAAGGATAAACTCATCGTACCAGGTATAGATAATCTTCTACTCGGGGGTAATGTTTGTCTATAACGGAATACTGAAAGGATAAGCTCATTATAACCGGTATGGATAATCTTCTATCAGGGGTAATGTTTATCTATAACCGAGTATCGAAAGGATAAGCTTATTATACCCGGTATGGATAAATTTCTACCGGGGGTAATATTTATCCATACCGAGTATCGAAAGGATAAACTTATTATACCCGATATGGATAATCTTCTACCTAGGGTAATGTTTATCCATAATCGAGTATCAAAAAGATAAGATTATTATATCCGATATGGATAATCTTTTACCGGAGGTAATCTTTATCCATAATCGGGTAGTGAAGTGATAAGCTTTTTCATGAGACTTATTTCCAATAGAGTACTAAATAGATAAACATATTTACGGCGGAGTCCCATATGGATAAGCTTTTTCAGAAAGCTTATTTACAACGAAGTACTAAATGAACATCCATAATATAATATATTAATGACAATATTTCTTTTTTTCCTTTTATGTTGGTATGTTTTTTTAATTTTATTTTTCACCTTCTTCGGTTTGGTTCCACTTTTGTATTTTTGTAGGAACCCTGCTCGTATGCAACAGTCAAACAAAACCATTGTTGAGGGTACTTGTAACACATCTGCCATCTCGGCTTGATCGACCACTCTACCTCCTCTGCACACTTGCTCCTCTCCCGGCGAGCTCTTTCACGATCTCTTTGTTCGGCGAAATCCAGCTGTAAGCTAACAAGCTCCTCCGTTTTCTCTTCCTCTTCAAATTTCCTAATTCCTCATCTAATCAGTAAAACCCTAATTCCTTTCTTCCTACGAAATTTAGTTTAGAATGCGAATTTCTGAATTGTATTTCAATTCTTTTGATGAACTGGTATTAATTCTATGCGTTTGCTCCCAATGCATGAACGAGTGGCTACATCCCGATTTCTCACTGTTGTTTGTGATCTCACAACTTTATTTGCGTTCTTATTTTCTTCACATTTGATGTTGACTTCAAATTTCTTATGAAGTATTAATCTTATTTTATTTCTTATTGACTAATTCCTGGAAGATTAGAAAAAAAGAAGAAGAGAAAAGAAGGCCTAAAGTCGAGATCTTTAATTGTTACATTGTGAGTTTTCAGTAAGAAAGCCGTAAATTCAAGTCTTACAAATACATTTAGATTACTGAATAATGATTTCAATATCGTACCTTTTAATCTGATTTAAAAATGCCCCTTCAACTGCAAATACGTCTATCCATTTGGATCCCTTGTTAATGCTGGTGTGTTTAAAGAACATGATAGTTAACATCTGTAAGTAACTTTTTAGAATGAACTGTATGTAGCTATTCCTATGTTGCAAGCTCTAATCTTGAAGTATGTGTCATATGCAGGTTCTTCTAAGATAGAGTGTTGGTCCAGTTCGCAGTTCTTATAACATGGTAAAGTTTCACCAATTGCTTATTGTTGTTGGACATATGCTTCTTATGCTACCACATAGCTCTCTGTGTGTGTGATTGCGCACGCGCGCGCACACACACACACACATATACATGTATGTCTAATTACCTATCTGTGCGAGTGTGTAATTGGCCTTTCAATTTTAACATCAGCTACTGGCTACCTCGTGTATATAGATGCGTGTTGATATTCCTGCATGCTTAATGCAAAACTAATGCTTAAAATACCAACTTTTAAACCATATGCCCATGATTACTGGTCTTTGAAATGACCGGGCATCCTTCTTGCAGAATTATATCNTTGCAGAATTATATAATTGGAGCGTTCAAGCCAGCATGCAACATCTCAATCACATTTTCTGATGGGAAATCCCGGAAACCGGTAGGTTACCAGTGTTAGTCTTGTTTCTTGGTTATAGCTCTTATCATGTTTATAACACTTATCAATGAAGATGAAGCCGTCGGCGGAGATTGATGCCATAATCTGCAGTTGCGTGTAGAAACTTCTGCTCATGGATGTGCTTATTGTTTGTCATTTTCATTTTATTAGCTGACCAGGAGCTTTAGTCATGTTGATGGAAACATTTTGTCTTCAGTGGTGTAAGATAGCCAGTAGGTAAAAAAATGCTCAATATATGTTTCACAAACTGGATGGGAAACATAGTTGATATATTGTTTCTTCTTTGTTTCGGCTAACAGTTTGTTGTTCCATGGGATAATAACCCCCCTTTGATGACCTAAACGCTGCTAGTTGGTCTCTTTATTTGATATTAAATTCATCAATTGTGGATCGAAGTTCAACCTTGTTGCTAGATGTCTATGAAAACTTATTTTAATCGACTTTGTTACAGTATTTCTACATGACTCACCTATCCCAAAAAAGAACTATTTCTGCATGACAGATAATGTAGTTATCAGAAAATAAGGACATGACATGTCTTCTTTAAATATATAGAAAAACCATCAAACCTTAAGCGCAGTTCTATCTTCGTGGCATTAGAACTATAATATCATGTTTATGTGGTGAACAATATAAGTTATCTAGCAACCTAGAGTTAAGGAATAGAATAGAATGGTCGATAGAGGAAGTAATAACAATAAGCATGTTACTTTTACATTATTGGGACGCCTCAACAAAAAGACTTTAAAAAGGAGAAGTTGAATATTGAATTCCAGATCAGATGTGTGCTGCAGTTATATGTCTAATTAGCATAAATCAGATGTAGTGTGAAACAAGATGCAATGCACTTGAATGTGCATGTAAATAGATGCAACCTATATGACTTGAAAAAAATTGAAAAGAAAAAGAATAGGTGCAATCTTTTTGATTTGAACGGTCAGAACAAAACTGGAGATGTTTTCACTTTACAAGTTTACTGTTGGCTTGTTGTGTTCTATTCTTGATTATCTATTTTCTGTTTTACTGTTTGCTTGTTGTGTTCTATTCTTGATTATCTATTTTCTGTTAGGTTCCGTTGAAGAAGGAAAATGGTCAAACTGTTATGGTCCCACTTTTCCATAGTCAAGAAAACATTGTTGGCAAGGTACTTTTCATGTGTCATACTTTTGATTCTTATAATTCTCTTTTATTTTGTTAATTGTCGAAAGGTATCCTTTACCTTTTCTTGAGAATGTAGTTTCTTGTGACTTCAGATTTCTGTAGAGCCAGTATCAGGAAAGAAGGTTGAACATAATGGAATCAAAGTTGAGCTTCTTGGCCAGATAGGTGAGCTGTCAACTGGTCACAATTTTTAACAATTTGCAGTTTCGTGTCCTTCTCAATCAAGTGCATTGACGGCAAATGTTGAGATTAAAATTACATTGATCTTTTCCAGTTTGAACTCTCTCCCCACATATCAATATACCCATTGATTTCTATGATCTGCTTTCTATTTTTTTTTTCTTTCGTTGAGGTGTGGGAAGTGGGTTGGACTAAAGTAACCTCTTTTCCTAACTGATAATTCAGCTAAGGTTGCGGTGAAGCTCTGCTTACNCCCCCTCCAACTCCCAGCGCATGTCACTGGTTCGAACCCTGCCACAAACAAAGCCTGGCATTTAAGTGGAGAAGGGTAGAGGGGCGGACCCATTATCCACCGAGTTTCGAACTGTGTGCCATTGGCCTCGAGGATTTCTCGGTTATAAAAAAAGCTTTGTTTTCAGTTAGTATGCTTATATCTTCATACTAATTATCCTATACTTCAATGAATAAGCCTGCCTTTTTCCTTGTTTTATCCTTATCACCACTATTCATGGTTATGATGTTTCATTGTGTGTGTGGAACCTGCTGCGTGACATTCAAAAAAGGAAGAACTAGCATTCCAGGTCTGATATTGATAAAAAAACTATATAGTTCAGTTAAATTGCTGGTATAATTTTTCTGTGTATAGTCTTTATCGGCTAAACTGCATAACAATTAGAACATCTACTTGACTTATCCAAAACGAAAAACAAGCTTTCCTCCTCGCAGCTTCTCTTTTGTACGTTCATGTTTGCTTTGCTATAAAATTTTAGTTCAGTAAATGTATGGTCTCTTGCTGGTATAATTGTTTTATTTGTAGTCTTTATTTGGCTATGCAGCATTCTAGATATTGCACATCACATCTGTGACTTTTTTTTTGGCTGATATACCTGCTGTGGATAATTAATTCATGTTGCTATTGTCTTTTTTCTCTTGTCCAGAAATGTACTTTGACAGGGGAAACTTTTACGACTTCACATCCCTTGGTAAGTATATCATATATGATGCAAGTGGAAGCAGAACAGGAAAATTTATTACTTAGCTGAGTGAACTGATGACACATGTTTTCTTGGTTGTCTTGTTTAAATTTGACTGTTGCTTCTGACTTGTGAGCTACTATCAGGTTAGATTGTGTTAATTCTTTTAGAGTCTATATTCTAGTACATTGATTTTGCTGTGAGTTTCTCATACTTCCTGTTCATGGGACCTCGGTGAGCAGTCTAATGTTTCTATTTTGTTATGATCTTTACTTGTCTTAGAAGTTGAGTCATAATCTGTAGAACCTATCATATTTAACTATAATTTTAGCCGGAATGCTACATTTTGCAGCTTCTCAATATTTTACATTCTTCATAGTCAAGAATAGAGAATCATGATTGATTTCTGTTTTTTTATACAGCCTTTGTTGTTCTTAGGTGCATTATGCAGACTTTGTTTAATGGTTTTTCCTAGGAAATTAATTGAGGTTGCTAGACTCTCCTTTCCCTTTCTCTTCTACTACTGTTGTTGTCCCGTCATGGCATTATAGTTCTGCCTGGCTGCCTATTCATTCTTTTGCTTGAACCGTCGGCTTTGCTTTATTTATCCATGGTCCAGAGAGACAAGTTTCCTGTCAATCTAGCTGCAGATTTTTGTCAGAGAGCGCAATATTCGGTGTTCTTCAATTGCCAATTGTGGCATGGTAACCTATAAGTTAGGTTATTTCTACTTATCTTTGCTGGACTTCAATGAGCTAAAGCATTTCCATTTGAGCTGTTGTTTAGTGGGTATGCTATTTAGGTGTTGTAAGTTATTTGACATAAAATACTCTGACATCCACTTAGAATTATGGTCTCAAACTTTCCTTGTACTTTTTCCTGCTGGTTTTTCCTTATATATTGCTTCATTTTCTGCATTTAATATTTCTCTCTTTTGTAGTTCGAGAATTGGATGTTCCTGGTGAAATTTATGAAAGGAAAACATATCCTTTTGAGTTTTCAACTGTTGAAATGCCCTATGAAACGTATAATGGTGTTAATGTCCGACTTAGGTAAGTTTCTTTTGTTTTGGAACCTTGCAGCATATATATGATACTTTTATTCAGTTTCT